AGATCTATTCTTAACGTCTGGGGATGGAGTCAATTTAGGTAGTGAAGCAGGTGAATGAAACAACTCAGGATTTTGAAAATGACCAAGTACTCGACTTTCATAAGTAATCCCTGGTAAATGTTTAACAGATTCTGTTAGGGGATTAGATGTTTCGAATATAGTATGTTTATCAATCGTCATTCCAAAGGTATTGGACTCCTTGAAAGGGATCACACAAGTAGAAATAAAAATAAGCAAGAATTGACAATTTTTCAATATACTCACGCAGAAGCAGAAATAAACAGTAATCACACATTCATTAAAGACATACACACACCGCTATATTGCCATTATTTTATACCTTCAGCATAGTAATTCCGGAAATCAAACGCCAATACCAAAAAACAACGCAGTGATTGCCTCTAATTGATCTCATCCAATATACATCAATCAGATGGAATATCAGTGGTCGTATATCACAACAGTATCTGAAAATGCTGCGGATTTGGACTAATAATAATAATATTCGGTCTCGTGTGATAAGTTAATATTTGAAAAATAACAGGACAATCTGCTTAAACACAGTACATTTTTCTAGCTACCAGATATGTATGAAAGTAACTTAATCCAACAACATTAGTAATATCATTTAGTTAAAGTTATATTGATCAGTTTTATTAACAATCACTTCAAGTATGTAAGTTCTGGAAGAATTTCTGATTTCAGTAGAGTCACTACTAGAACATTATCTCGATTTCTTTACTGTTTATCTTCTTAAATTCATTTTGCTGTGCAAACGTGGCAGGGCAACTTGAATAAATATAGATATGTGCCAGGCTCTATGCTGATCTTAACTGACTGATTGACTGAAAACCCGTATTGGATTTATGGTATTTTAAGTGCATGGCCAGGCAGACTAACTGTTGGTTTCCTACTGATAAGTATCATCATCCAAATACACTAAAAGCAAACAACTCTGGAAATTAATGTATACCAAAATTTAAAATCAGAACAAAAGAATGGTATACGAAGTGATTTATAGAAAAAACGAATGTAAAAAGTACATTAGCACATATAAAAATTTAGATGAAAATATATTTTAGTTAAACTTTGATCGTTAGTACGTGTAATGATAATTGAGATTTCCAGTTTTCGTAAACAAAAGGATGACGAATGGATGGCGGGTTCTCCATTGATAAATGTGGAAAGAACTGTTCAGACATGACGACATTACCCCAAGAGGATAGAAGGAAATTTTCCAACGGTTGTATGGATCCAGGATATGCCTAAATGTGCAGGGAGAAATTACTGATCATTATGAAAACACAGTTGTCCAATACGAATATTTTGTCTATTTCAACATGATAATTTTGGATTTACAACTGTACAACCGAATGAAGAAGTTATTGAAGACGATCGTTCGCTCTTTTACACTTTGTTAATCACTATGGATAACTCAAAGTTTACTGATACACTGAAAACGAAACTTTGAATACTAAATCAAATGAGATGGAGTTGATATGAAAACCGAAATGCATTTGAGTTACGTATTTCGGACAGTCTAGTCACATATGTCAATGCATTTATATATGGAAGACAAATAAAGGCCAATTAAATAAGTCAATAAATATGAAGAGGTAAATGGAAAGAAAAGGAAACCATAATCCAGGATGACAACATATTTATTTCATATTACATTAAATTCTTACTCCCTTACCACCATATATTTACAGTAATCTTATTTGATTTTTAGTTTTTTCAATTGCAATGGTTTGACAAGTGTGACTAGATTGTTCGAAGTGTATATGGCGAAAACACAACATTTTTCAGATTAACTCCTTTTTGTTACACTATAAAAATTTATGTAAAGAACTATTTATTCTGTAGCAAGTAAAACAGTTTAATTAAATACCCTTAAGCATAAAAAGAGCATTGAAAAAAGTGATACTAACGCAAATGAGAAGTTAACCTTATCACCAAACTTAGTGTAGATTTATGTGCCAAGCCTTGAGGCGCGTCGATTTCATTACGGCTGGAAGTAGTACCCAATGAACAAGAATTATGTCAAATGTTTAAAACACGAGTCATAAGTGGTAATCAAATGTTAAAAGTTCTGGCTTTCACTCGAAAAAGTGCTATAGATTCATACTGCTGGGGAGCTTCCAATCGGGACAAAAGAGGCGTCCAGAGTCTCACTGTCTAACAGTTCTTCAATTAATATCAGCTCATGAAAATTATCTTCCAGTTGAATAGACCCCCAGATATCACCAACCCAAAAAGTCATTATGGTATAACTCTAAATATTTTCAGTAGTTCCATTTAATGAAAAAACAAGTAGTCAAGATAAAATTTCTCTTGGGTTTCTTTTCCAAAAAATATTCAGATCTTTAGAAATAGTAAATTTATTTAAACACGATTGCTCAATACTTAAAACGGGTTCATGATATTTTCGGTTTCATTAGCCAATGGCTACCTGAATAAGGTTCAAACTAAAGATACATTACTTGGTGGGTAAGAGTAATTTCCTAGTATTTTTGTCTCCTTGATGTTTAATTCATAAGGTAAATTATATAGTATTGTTTTACTCTAAAAAACAGTGATGAAAAATAAATCTCTAATCAGGATTGCAAAAACAGCTGAACTCACCAATTTGAGTATACCTGAGAACTGTTGATATGTTTTAAGATGGTTTATTGTATTGTTCAAAATTGTCACATTAGATCCTCCTAAATCGATAAGTGATTTGCAAGACTGTGATGGATAATGTGAAGATTTTTCTAAAGGTATATTTAACAAAAAACGAGGTGGCATGTAAGTTCTGAAGAATACATAAGTGACGCATCCAGTTACATTACTTGGAATAGTTCTCATATAAGAAAATAGACCAGCTTGGTGTAAGTACCCATAAAATAAAATCAAGATAAACTGATGAAAAATCCATAGTACAATAATACTTATACAAGTACATGAAACGTCTTTTCGTCTTGTATGTCTTACTTTAGCATCAACACTCTGACCAACAACGAAACAAGCATACGGTAGGCATGGGATAAGAAAACGTGCTTCTTGATGAGGTATAAATGACAAAACAAATGTAGGGAATACCACACTGATCCAAGCAATACACGATGAAATTGAACGACGTTGTAAAGGTTGAGTGAATAAACGAAATGCAAAAATAGGTCCAAATATTAAAGGCCAATTAATAAGGAAGTGGGTAAATCGAGAATGTAACCCATGGGAAGAAACATGGTATGAGTTGGAGTTATAAGTTAAAAACCGGTAAGGTGTATATATCAACTCAAATCGTGAAAAATCGACCTGGAAAGTTTGTAATAAACCCACATTGTGAAAGTATAATGTATCTATTATTACACAAATGAATGTATTGAAAAAAACAAATAAAACAGATGGTAAACAAAGAATCATGGAAATGTACTTAAACTTTACTAAGATGAATGCTAACTCGATAATTCCTAATGGAAGAATGAACAAAATATAAGTAGGTCGTAAAAATGTACCCCACACAACAACAGCAGACTGAATACACATAAAAAGAATTAAGGATTGTTTATTCACAGTAAGATCAGATGACTGCTCTAAACGATCCAAAACTTCCAAGAACAGTAGGCCAAATAAAGAAACATAAATTGATTCCCATACATTGACAATTGTACGTGTAGACCATAAACTCCCACCGAATGCGCATGATGCATAAAGTAATAAAGCTGTTGGTACAGAATGATATTGTACAACATGTAATATTTTTTGAATTTTAGTCTGCTTTGCTGAAATTTGATGATGATCAACACGTATGCAACAGCGTAATATAAAAAGATCGACTAAATATGAACCAAGTACAGTGACTAACCGGGAGGGAAACAGAATTCTATTTAACATATCAGATCCACTGAAGTCAGTTTTTTCAGCTAAAAAATAAATAAATTGAAATACTAGGGATATTTTCAAGATGATTAAAACTAATACACACAAACACTATAGTGAACTTTATAAGGGCATGATAACCATGTTTATGTACCGACTCAATCCTAGACACTAGCTAACTCTCATTTATTAAAAACTTGAACGAGCAAAGAAATTTGACAGACAGCAGCTAGCCAATGTCAAGATATGAAATAGAGGCTAATCAAGAGTTATAAGACGGATGTTTACTAGGTTTTCAAATAGATGTGTTATCAACTAAGATATATAATGATTATTGGCTCGTTTACCAAGTGCAGATTAACGCACTTTAAGTCGAACGCTAAGTGTAAGGGTTAGTAGTACTACTAGTTGTCTTATCCGTAGGTGAAGGGGAGTTCGAACCTGGACGGAAATAGGACGCCTTAGCTATCGGTTCACACATGTATAATAGTAGTAACAATGAAAATAACTTAATGGTTTAAAAAACATATAAAAAGAATGTAGTACATAAATCAACTTGATTTTGGGAGAAAGAACATAACCTCCATACCTCTGATAGGTTGTCCTATTTAACCGTAGTCCCATATTTTTCAGCAGTATACCTGGGACTCAGATAAAATGTGTGTAAAATGAGCGACAAATCTCAAATCACAGAAACATTACTTTTATAATTAACTCCACCATGAATCCATTTGGCAGCCTGAATCGGGATATGTACAAAAGGTGACATTCCAGCTACAGATCTAAGAGGACCTTTATCATCTAAGTGAAACTCCCATGTTCTTAATATGTCCAGATTATAAATGTCACCCGCTGCAACTTCAATCCCCTGAAAATACTCATCTGGATGTAAATAACCCGGCTGCAAATCGAACACAAACAGAAACCGTAAACATAAAAGCAGTATGTAGATAACCCAGCCACGAAGATGGGAAGTCATAGATAGCTGGAAGTACAAAATAGAGAAGACAATTTGCATGAGTTTACGTCACAGTTTCCCAACAAGAAAATGAGATATTCAATAACAGAAAAAAACTAGGGAAAATAGGTTATCGTTTATTGAACTTCAAAGACAAACATCAGCACAGAAAAAATGATCAAGACGTTGATTCTAATTTAAACAACTGAAATGAAACAGTACTGCGTGACTCGTTTGGAACAATTTCAGACTGAAAACAACTCGTTTCATCATCCTTTTTTGTTTTTAGTTCCATGCACTGACTACTAGTTTGAACGATGAGAAGTGAATGCTTATTGGTTGGATGAGGGAGAATACGCCATGGACATTGTACTTTTAAATTGGAATGCACTGACCTTGAGAAAAAAGATTGAAAGAAATATTTAGAAAACTTTATGGACATTCAATATTTTGTATACCAAATCACAAACAATTTTAGTTAACAACAATAGTTAAAAATAATACTTGGTTAGGTGCAAATATAACCATCTTTTACGAAACGGCTTCAAAACATTAGTTATATTACTACTTATCCAAGAATAAAATCAAAAGGTCCGTCTAGATTTTCAAAGGGATTCATCAAGTTCGAAATGAAGATATAAAGATTTTCAGTTTGAAACGACAGGCATATAACTTGAATTCATTGTTTTGCTTGTCACTAAGTCATGTAATCACATTTCCAATTTGACATTCTGTAGACAAACAGCTTCCATCAGACTTATTTCACAATCTAATTATTTAATTACTGCATTTGAATTTACAATGTAACTTACTATCATCAGATTAATGTACTCGGCTTTGGGCCTCACTTTGTGAGCCAATGATACCATTTCACTAACCAAATTCAGCGTCCAAGCAGAAAAGTCATAAACAAATTTAAGGTCAAGAATCAGATCAAGAGGGAAGACAATCAAGACAAATGGGCTGATAATGTGAAGACCAGTGTTAGCAATAGCCAATCAACCTCATGACCAACAGAATAAGCTGCTAGTCACTTGTGGAGAAATTCTCATAGCTTATTTCCATCGGAAGTTTGTGATTTTGCCCAGGAAGATAACAAAAGTTCCACAATTAAACACCTCTGCTCACATAAAGCAATTTCAACAAAATCATTCTACTAAACTAAAAACTTTCGCCACCTCAAAATGTTAAGATAAGCAGTGTGTAAAGCAGCTCGTTACAAATTCAGCAGAAAATTTTGACAAAAAGTATAAGATAATATAAATAAGCAGGCATCATTATCAAGGTTTGATTTGATAATTTCGAATAAATTGAGCATTGGGTAGATTGTTATAAATAAGCAGTTTGAATACACTTACCTCAAAACAATTACTGGTGAATACAAACTATCATTGAGTGGAGATATGGATGGGACCAATATATTCAATTTTTCACATAATACTTTCATTACGAAGTCAGCCGGTGCATTTATGTTCAAAGTTGCATATTTAGCCATTTTTGTTGGCTGTAGATTAATAATTACTAGTTTTGATCCAAGATTCTTTGAACTCTCAATTTTATAATCATTTTGAATGAAAGGACAGTTGTTGGTACTTCTGTTATTGACAGTTTTACAAACATTTGTAAGAGGAAGACCAGCAGCAGGGAACATTTGTAGTGATGAGCCAATACATATATGAAGATCTGCTTTTCTGGAAACGAAAAACGATATGACATAAGCTTCGAAAAATGCTCTTAAAGTCATAGTCTCAACTTTAAAATTTTAGGACTAACTTTGAATGTTCTATTGCGAGATTATAATCTAAGAGTGGTAGATCATCTTCCCAGTCAAGAATAGTATCACGAAGCTTTCCTCTGTTGTTAATGTTACACAAATATATGTTAGCATACCTGCAACACCGTTTATTAGGTTTCAAATAGGTACATACAACTGATGACTGCCGTAAACCCACTGATCCTGAAGGTGTTGATCGAGCGTATAAAGTTCCACAAGCACTACATGATTCAAGAAACATATCACCATGTAGAATAGCCAAACGGTCTCTTGGAAAGCCAGATCTCAAGTGCAACCCATCGATATTTTGAGTCACTAAGAATTTGACAACATCTGGGGACGTAAGAAAGATTTCAGGAAATCCAAAGTACCATGTTTTTCCAATTCAACAAGAGCTCGATGTGCTAGTGATGGAATCACTTTTTCAAAAGGTATAGAAAGTTTAGGCTTCTTTCCAAATTTCTCCAACGTCCAGACACCTACAACGAATAACTATTATAAAGTTTGAACCTACCACCAGGACCTCGAAAGTCCGGTATACCCACTGATGTGCTAATACCAGCTCCAGTATGCACAACTATGTAGGTGGATCGACGTACCAAATTAACAAGTTCAGTGAGTTTAAAATCTAGTTGGGAATCGTCATCGAGAACTTCAGGTAGACCACAAACTCCTTTGTTGGGATAGTAGGACAGCTTAGATGCATAATCAACTGACATTTAACTTGACTTAGTGCGCACAGTACTAGGAAAACATATCATTATATCATCTCAGATCAGAATTGACGATCACAAATTCGCAATCAGGCAAAGGATTTCAACTTTATACTCCAGGCTAAAATAAAATTTATTTATTTATTTATTTGAACACATAAATACTGGCACAAGGGGGCACCAGTTACATATGCGCCACACAAATCCCTTTTGATATGTGTGAGGGCTGTGATACTGCCCAGGTGTCCAGACCGAAGCAGGTGGTTTTCTTAGGGGGCCACACCCGGAGCCTTCGGCCTCAAGGTCTGATCCATAATGTAGTAGAGCAACGTAAAGAGATGCAGTCCCATGGTGGCCGGTGACCAACAATTGGTTCATACGCCATTTGTTCCTTCAGGATACTGGAGTTCATGTGCACCAGTGGTTTGGAACCAGGGTTTTCCAACTCCCCTAGATGGACTCTCCGTGTCCATCAACCCGGTTAAAGCTCCGGACATTCACTTTTCGTCCTCTCAATTTCGTAAACACCCCGGCCACGAGAAGGAAATGAGTAGGACTTCCCTGGCAGAGGCTATATGCGCGTGGCCGTGTGAGAGCATTTTGAGAGGGAGAGCGGACTCTCCCCACTCTCGGTCGTACCAAGGCATTTGGGCGCAAAGGTTGAGAAAATACCATCAAATCAACTTTGAAAACCATTTAGCACAGAGGAACTAGTTTGCAACTTGCAATTGGAAGTAATATCGGAATCTATTTAGAGGTTTAAATTATGTAGAACCTAGGACATCAATTTAAACCCACATTGATGGTGGATCATAAAAAACAAGAAGGGAGATAAACCAAGACGAAATGGACGAAAGACATAATCAAGTAAGGACAAATAAATATGGGGCAAAGTGAAAGCGCATCATTTAGCTATCTAACCGATAACCGAGGGGAAATTCTCACTAGGCATAATATTTTTCACGCATGAAAAGATTTTTCACTTATTGCAGTCTTTGGTGTACGGTGTTTGATTCCCAACAAAATTTAATCACAAAACTGTGGATCGAATCTAAAGTCTGTTCTGTTTTGCTTTCCGAGACATGTAAATCTAGTGTACTGATCATATAAGTATACAGTCTGAAAATGTCTTAGGATTTGGTGAAGCTCAATTCATATGATAAAAAACAAAGACGCAAATGGATGTAGACTTTAAACTGAATATTCAACCTCAGAAAGAATCAATATTCATTACCAAGTAATTGTATATGAGCTACCCTCGAAGTGTGAAGGCTAATGGAACCACCTATTGTCCAAACGGAAGTATATTAAATGAGGTTCCAGTACGAGACTTAGTAACTGGAAGTCGAACGCCCTAACTACTGAATCAACACCCCATAAAAAGGCTGTTTCCTTTTTTACACGTACCGAGTCCTTTTCCTGAGCATAATAGTTATGGAAACTAATTCGCGGCTAGTCCCAGTCTCCTAATTTCAGGGAAATTCTGGGGCTTTCCCTAAAACCATATGAAAATGAGTACTTTCCCCAAAGTCTGGGAATATTTCGAGGTAAGACCTCAGATATGATGAACCTTTAGGGTTTTCCAACATTTTCCAATATGGCTTTCCTAAAACGCGTAAAATTTTCCCCGAAACCGGGGGATTGAGGTATCACATAATGTAATAAAAACTCAGGTGTTCAACAGAAATTACTGGAGAAGCTCAAAGGAACACTGACGGATCTTGAAATGAAGTGAAACAGTAATGTTTTGACGAGAACGTGCTACTTACTATACTATATAAATGACATTATATAAATCTGAATGGGCATATATCTGCTTAAAATAATTTCATTAAGTTAAAATAACCCTCTTCATAAAAAAGACTCTATGAACGAACAAATCATACTTCTAACGTGGCGCTCAGTTTTAGGACGTTCAGTGTCGGATACGAGGGCAATTTAAAAATGACATATAGAAGGAACAATGAACTGGTACTTGACTTACTTCGAAATACAATAAATATTGGATTCCCATACTCTTGACACTGATCATTAGACTAAAACCATTCATATTTCTTGCAGTGGAAAGTTTCTGAGGTATATCATAAGTTTTGTGTTACGAACAATATCTAACCCCACCAATAAAGCCAGACTCTATTATGCATCATATACATTTTTGAAAAACAATTGACTGAATTCATCTAAGCCCCAAAGCACACAAGACTAAATTTGGTATGTACATCTCCCTAGGCTGTCCAATTTTAGGTGTGATTAAGAAAAACAAACTCTGCGCTACAGGCATAAATTTTGAAATGATAATGGGACTTCTCTAAAATCTATGAAAATGGACTGTTTCTGCGCTGTCATGAACAAATTTATGACAGCTTCACCATTACCAACTAGTCCTCTGCGATCTGTATCTGTAGCGATGGATCCTAAAGTGAAGTGCTTTATAAAAACCTTCAGCAATGTTGTGAAAGCAAAAACAAAGATTCTAGCAAAGTCTCATGAATTCAGTTTATTTTGTAGGTTCTCGTCAGCTGCTTAAGGGCTGTGATATCTAAAAGCACAATTTCATGATGGGTTTAAATCACTTGCATGAAAGGTTGGGTTGGAAGTTATGTTGAAGACATATTCGTACAGTGTATATATAGCTTCCAACCAAAACTCTCATACAAGTAACTTAAACCAATGTAATTACGACTTTAAAAATCACAGGTTTTAAGCAGCTGACGAGAACTTATGAAACAAAATGAATTAATGCCATTCTGCTAGAATCTTTGTCCTTGCTCCTTTTGAAATGATAGAGGGAACAATGTGTATGAAAAGACCTTCAGGAATTATCGACTTTATCCTGGTTTGTACTCAAAGTATTATTCATAAAACAATACCCTATTTTTTATATCTAAAATACTCACTGGTGAGCCTTTTGCTCGGCACGTTTGAGTTCGAGTTCGTTTCTTGTTTTAATCTCCGTATTTTATGAGTGTTATTCATACTTTTCGTACTCACAATCTCTTATACGTATATCCGAGCTTATCAATACCAAGAAACCCAAAAAACAATTTAACTCAGAAAACCCCAGATCTCTAAATCATTTCTAAGAAATGACAGTCCCCTTGTATACTATAACAAGTTTCAATCATTCTTTAGATACATTACGTGCTTTCATAATCTCTTCATGTCACCAAGCGCCAAACCTTTTCTTGTTGGTATCACACGTCTTGGACGGATATTGTATTTGACACATCCTTCAATATAAACGCTCACAGATAACAATCTATTTTGCATCGCATTGAAGCAATTCATTGGACTGGTGGGTATTAATTGAAGTAATGGAGTGTCTCAGGGTTCAATGGATCGGTCTAAAATTCGGTGTGTGATGAGGAAAGTTGTCAAAATATAAATCACATTCAGAGTTGTGTATTAAGGACAGAAGGCATACGGCCTGTGTTATTCCTTTTCTAATATGCTTCTGTCAGTGTCCAGTCTTCTCATGAACTAGTCGATTGAACGTGCGGACACCACTGCTTGGGGGAGCAGGTTTCAAGTATTGATGACTCGGTGGGAAACCTGCATGCCACGGATGTTTTGTTCGTTCTTGGCTTTTCTACTCGCCTGCTATATCCTCTGGAATGTCCCGATTTAGTGGAAAGAAAAAGAGAGAATAAGTTAGGTCCAAAATAATTTCTGAGTATTCTATACATCGAAATTAGATGTCCTCTTAGTCTACGATAGGAGAAAGTATAGAGGTTCAGCTTTTCAACCCTCTCTTTGTGCGGTAAACCTCGAAGTTTTGGAATTGTACAGGTAGCTGCCCTCTGTACTTTTTCTAGAATTTCCGAGTTCGTTTTTAAACAGAAGCTTGCAGTCTAAACACAGTTCTCAAGTTTAGTTCTCACTAAAGTTGTGTATATTGTGGTGAACATGGTAGTATATAACTAAGAGAAAGTCCGTTTTAAAGCTCAGAGGGTTCTAAAGCATGTAGCTGAGACCTCACGGCAATGGGCCGTCGTCTTAAGATCATGACTCACCGTCAACCCTAGATCCGGATGAGACCGGACCACGGGTAATAGAGCTTCACCTATGCCGTAACTATTAACTTTTGTATCCTGAAAGTTCATGTACACACAATTTAGACCAGTTAACCATATTATTTAAGTCTGTCTGAAGTGCGCATGAGTCTGTGTCTCCAGATATTATCATTATTATTCACAAACATCTTATGGGTACATAAGTGTTGTGAAGAAATCATTTCGGGTTTCTTCAAAAAATGCAATGATGCACAATTTTCAATAATGTTAGCACTGTATTTGCCATATTTGAAAAAAGACAGCAATAATAATAGAATAATAATAATAATAAATCGGGTCTGTGTAATTGAGAAGAATATTGAATTGAGTTTAAAGAAGGAAATGGAGAAAATAAGGGAATAGAAATAAAGGAGACGTGAAATACACAATCAGTTTGATAGGTGTGTTTATGTACACAGAACATGAATAAACGACCGTGTATATATCGTCAAATTAGTAACAAAAAATAATTCAGAAAGAATAACTTATTATCGCAGTAAGATATGACGCTAGAATAAATGTTTGTGCAGTTATAGTTTAGAGTGATGCTATGAAAGTCACAATTAAGTGAAAAGGATAATAAAATATCATTATGTATGAGTCATATATGCATAGCGAAGATAAAACGAATCTGAGAAGTTAATTTAAGTGTAACACAAGTTATTGTTTTAATTAGAAACTTCGTAATCTTAAGAATAATATTAATTCAGAGAGAAAGAAGAGAAAGAAAAGAAATGAACACCTGGTGAAAAGGTTCATGTATGAAAAGAATAATAATTGTGTAACAAATATCGACCTCAGAAGTAAACCAGCAATTGCGAAAAATAAAATAAAAATCCTTTAAAGCTCTCGGATGAATACATTTAATTTTATGTAATAGTATACAGAGTAAAACTGGATATTAGTATATATATATGTGCAATAATAATTAAGATTGATGATATGGAAGTCAAA